GTATTGATGTGTATTGTGTATTGTGTGCGTATGCATAACTATTATAATTATATCATGATGAGTACCCATGTGCATATATATATAATATACACGTGTGTGTGTGTGTGCATCTCTTTGCGTATGTAATGTAATATCATTTCCGTGTGTATGATGCAACGTAATGTGATGTAATAATGTAATGTAGTTTTATTTCATGTCATGTCATGATATATCATGTCATGCATCGATGTGTTTGTGTCTGAACGAATATAGCGAATAAACTGCGACCTACTGATCTTTTGCAAGCCCCGACGTCCTCCTTCACGTTACTGCTGAGACACGAAGGTTCGCGGAGCGTTTGGGCGCTGATCGTGTAGTCCTTGGTCGCGAGTTGAGCATCAAAGAAATTGCATCAGTTGCAGCAGACGTGGGGGATTTGGAGGTTGAGGCGGGAATGGTTGTTCTTGCTGTCTTCTCACTTGTCAAAGTTATCTAAAGCCGTTCATGCTTAGCTTGATATAGCACAAGTGCCATATTGTTGTGCAAGCCATGGCGCTCAAGAGGGATTTGAGTAAAAAGTGTGAGGGAAAAGCCTATTGTTAGGTTGAAGTTCAGAGATTGCATACGCGATCATGCACTTCCTAGATCAGGTTGTTGAGCCAATAGAATACTATGTGCCCAGAACTGCACATGCGATCACATGCGTGCATAGCAAACACAGCTACATATTGTTTTCTTATGTTTTCTTCAGCGCTTTGGAGGCATCATTGCCCTTTGTTATTGGTGTCATTCGGTGTTTCTTTGCTGCGAAACTCGCCAGGTCTTTGTGCATGGTGCCCTGTGCGTTTCCTACAGCGGCCAGTGCTTCTCCTCTGAAGCCTGGGGTGGCCGCTCCGCAAACCGTGGGCAATGTGCGCAAGCGTGTCGATTGCCATATGGTTTGGTTGCCCGACTGCAACACACACGAGAAATCACGAGAACCGTGGAGACATGTGGAGACTGTTGCAGCTGCATTATAGCTTGATGTGACATTAAGGGCTCTGAACGAAACTGTTGCAATGTCAAGTGCCGTCAGTGTTTGGGAAAGTCATTGGCATGATGTCATGTGATACGAATGTTGGCTGCCAAAGACGTTTCTTGTTGCCTCTCAAGACCAGGAGCTGTTTGTAGGACCTTTTGCTTTTTCATACAAGGTGAAGGATGGAGAATTGATCGATTTGGGCTGCTTGTCATATCATAACAACCTTTGCACAGGATGGTTCAGGGCGGGAATGAATTGAATGGTGGTGCTGCCATGCTCATTCTTTGTAGCGTTTGATGCCACGAGGAGAATGCTACAACCCCGTCAGAGTGGAGTTGAGATTGGTTGTGTGTGTGTGTGTGTCATGAAAGACGATGCGCAAACGGCGCAAACACTAATATTCTATTTACAAGATTTTACAAGCTGCCGGCGAATTCCATTCAATTTACAAGCTTGCCGAGTAGATACTGAATATACTGAATCAACCAAACAGAATATCAATGATTTTTTAGATCTCAGACTATCTCGTCTTAGTACGGCTTGAATTTGGAGTGGAGCTTGCAATGTCAAAATCTGAGCTCTTGGAGCCAATGTCCAAGCGAATTGAATGCCGAAATCGATATCACTGATGCATATTGATATATGGGTATGGGTCAATACCTATAGATACATTTTTAGTGGGATGAACATCCATTTACCAGCTATTTTGGGGTTCACTAGGTACCAGGGTTTTGACCCATCCCCATATGATATGTGCAAAGTATTATAGATATGATATAGTTAGAATAGGGCTTGCCCATCTTCCAAAGCCTGAACCCCAAACCTCACAACCCCCAACATACACAACATCTCACAAAAATTTCATCAAAACTAACCACATACACCCAACCAAAAACCAATCAGAACAATCAACCATAAACTCAAATCCAAAAAGAACTCCAATTTTTCAACAAGACAAGTCTTGTTGAAAAATTGCCCGCCTAAATTTATATAAACAATAATAATCAAACAATACACCATAAACCAAAACAAAAACTCACCACAAACAACATCACAAAAAATTCTAACAGCATAACCTTGCCCACTATATATCATCCCAAAAAAATATGTTATAATTTCTGTGGTATTTTGTCGGGCAAGGTTATGTTGATAGAAAAAAATATTCTTATTAGAATGTCTTAAACCATATGTATAAAATGATGATTATATATTATCATTCATAATATTTTTTAAATACTTTTTAACAGAAATATTATTAATAAATCCCTTTAACCCACCTCCCCATTGCACCCCCCTGTCAGCAGAAGAAGGAGCGCATCAAGCAGAGTGATGGTCTGAAGCCTCTGATTTTATTTTATATAAATATTAATGTATATATTATATTTTTATACTTAATATTTTCCACAACTACTATTACATCTCTTACAATATGGCATTATATTATCCAGTGTATGAGTGTAATCATTATTTACTCTTTGAGCGGTTAGATTTGTTGTTATATTTCCATTTTTTATAGCGCTATGAAACCCACATCCACAGTAATTACATTGGTTAGTTATATTATCAAAAAAAACATTTAGCATTTACATAGCCTTCTTTTGGTATTTTTCTTTTTGCTTTCCTGTCCTGTTGCTTGTAATTTTCAATCTTTCTTTCATAAAAACTGTTCATACATTTGTAGTTGAATTCATCATTTACATCATCACTATATTTATAAAACTTTACCTTGTTTAAATCTCTGGCTCTTGTAATTGCTGTCCATAACCACTCCCTATAATTTCTAATGTCAAAATGGTTATAGTCAAATATGGTTATAATATCTCCATCTATGCTACTACCTTGGGCTGAATGGCAGGTAGTGCAATGGGCGAAAATGAAATTATCCCTTACCTTTTGAATTTTCAAGGATTGTAGTATATTAGTTTTAGTATTTTTCAATGTCATTACTCCATCCTTTCCAATGTGGACTATCTTATATTTAAAATTTACATTAAATACTGATGTAGGGGTTTTAGTATATTCTCTACATATTAAGAATTAGGCAACAGATGTTGCGACAGTGTGTGTTTGTTGGAAAATGACCTTGAGATGAACAGGGACTGTTCTTGCAAACACTGCGTAAATGTTCAAACAAAACCGACATGATGCCCGACAAATTACTACAGAAATTACAACATAATTTTTTGGGATGATATATAGTGGGCAAGGTTAGGCTGGTAGAATTTTTTGTGATGTTGTTTGTGGTGAGTTTTTGTTTTGGTTTATGGATAATTGTTTGGTGATTATTGTTTATGTAGATTTAGGCGGGCATTTTTTCAACAAGACAAGTCTCGTTGAAAAATTGGAATTGTTTTTGCATTTGGGTTTATGGTTGATTGTTCTGATTGGTTTTGGGTTGGGGTTTATGTATATAGTTAGTTGTTATGAAATGTTTTTGCTGGGGTGTATGTGGTTAGTTTTGATGATTTTTTTTGCTGGGGTGTATGTGGTTAGTTTTGATGAAATTTTTGTGAGATGTTGTGTATGTTGGGGGTTGTGAGGTTTGGGGTTCAGGGTTTGGAAGATGGGCAAGGCCTATTCTAACTGATATTATATTATTATATTATATATTATCTTATATTATATTATATATGTGTGTGTGTTTTTATTTGTTTGAAACATATGTGTAAATTAATAATAATATAATATGTATATGCATATGCATATATATATATATATACGCGTGCGTGTGTGTGTGTGTGCGCATGCATATACCAAATATGTATATATATATACATACATATGTGTGTTTGTGCATTTATGTGTGTGTGTGCGCGCAAAATACATATATGTATATATATATATAGTAAAGATAGATGATTTGTTTGCTTACTAATTGATTCTACAGTGTTACATATATCATATCATCAGATATCATCATATGTAATCATATGTATAGATGCCAAATGCATGTGTGTTTTACCATGTTTTACTAGTCAAAAGCACGTACGATTCAGGTGATGCAGTGCGCTACTTGCTGTCCCCACAGGACCTCATGGCCTTGGAAGCTGGGTTTGAGCTACACAAAGGTGGAGCCGAAAGAAAGTTAGCGCGTCATGAAGATCAAAATCAATCAGCGTATAAAGAGGGATCATCAATATGTTAATGTCCAATTCCAGTGGTGGTCACTTCCATGTTTATTTCCGGAGAGAGAGGAAAAAACTCTGGGTGATGTTGATCATGACCTTGCCAGCCAAGGACTACGTGCCAGCCTTGATCGATGCGGGCGTTGGTTGCTTCAAGATTGAGGGGCGGCTCAAGGGTGAGGAGAGCAACCAATTCACGAGAGTCAAAGTGTGTTGGATAGCTCCAAGTACACAATGTGAAGTTTTCCAATGCCAAGGTACTGGCAAGTCAGCCCGCAAGCGCGTGCTTGAAGTTTGGGCCGAACAATTTCAGGTTTCACCATTTTCTCAAGTTTCCCAACTTGGGAAGCTGTAGCTTCAGCATCACACCGTTTCGCAGTCTTCTCCCAGGAGTACGTGGCCTTGACAACAGCCGCATACCGCCAAGCCATAGATCAAGCCTGGGATGCCACAGCCACAGCATGGGAGGAGACACCCGCAGCACAGCTGTTGGCAGAGCCACAGACTGCCCGCACTGCGCTGGCGCAGCTCTTCGCACGAGGGCAGGACTTCACTGGGCTTCAAAGGTTGGACTTTTTTCGACTGAATTGGCCTAGGCGGTATATATATATATACATATCATGATTCTGTGCTTAGGGGTTAGGCGTGTGGAGCTAGATACGCAGGGATTTGAGTTGCTGTATCATTTGGGCAAGTTCAGAATTGGTAACAACAATCTATTATATCATTCCAGGAATTGTTCTCGTCGTCGTGTGTTGACTTTAGATTGGTCCAGCATCCCACGCAGTATTCAAAGGACGAAGAGCACGATGGACTTTCGCCTGGATTCTTGGAAGGCCAGTTTTGGATTTGGCAAAGTGTTTTGGATCATGTTGGATCTGTCGGTAGACATGGACGGGTCAAAACCTATGATTTATCGTCTCAGCGGGAGGAACATCATTGAACATCTGAATTTAAATCCGCTTGCCAGCTAGTCTGCTGATCACCAGGTGCCACGGTTATGGTCCATGGTTGATGCGACAAAATCCACGGAAAGCATCTAGAAGGGGTACTGCCGCTGATAGGTCCCCAGCACCAACGGCTTGTTCGTGGCATTGCACCAAAGCATCGGGGTGTTTTGGTGGGCACCGTGTGTGCAGTGCAGAGTGCCACGGCATCCTTTGCATTGAAGCTGGCTCCTGGTGCTGTCAACGTGCCCTTGCGACCAGGCACAGGAGGTTGCGGAGGAGAGGTAGCAAAGTACTTGCTCAAATACTGCGTGCTTCTAGACTTCCGGAAAATTTGTGTTTTGCTGCACAATATGTATGTAATTGAATGTAATTGATTTTACTTGTACATAATCATCACTATAATGTATATATATATGTGATATTGTATGTTTATATGTGGATACGTTTGCTCCAAAGCAGCTTCCATCAGCTATATGCGTTTATCGTTTCTTTTTTTGGCCTGTTCGCAGGCGCTGGCATTTTCTTCGATCAAAATGTTGGGCTCGGAGAAGATGCTGATGTTCTAGGAGACGTGAGCACAGGAAAATGATGAAACGCCTAGAGTTACTCAGGTTACTTACTGGACTGGTGGCCTGGGTAAAGCAACATGAAGATGTATGAAGCAGGGAAAAACCTCCACCCATTTTTCACAGGAGGAAAAGTCGCAAAACTTCGGAAATCTGGCGCGGGTGGTGTGCTTGCTTCGAGCGCTGAGCTTCAAAGCGGCGACATGCTTTTGGTTCGTTTGGACACCTTCCCTTTGCTTCAAGAAATGTTGCATTGCTTGGAAGGGATTTGCCCCACATTGGAAAACCAGCCACTGAATTGAATGGGAGATCATGCGGCAATCCCGCCAGCATCCGCCAGCACTTTCTGGGCGTCCCATGGTTTCCTCTTGTCGCGACGCTACATGCTGCTAGAGTCTAGGGTTGTATTGAAAGATATTTGAAAGATATTGAAAGGTCACGCCAAGCAGCATTTGGCATTGCACCCTCTAAACTATTGGGAACCTGTGCAGCCTGTGCCACAATAAATCCCATGAGTGTCCCACTCCAAGGATTTCGGAGGGAAGGAGCGGAGTCGACGCATGGAAGAGGTGAAAGTAGGAGATTTGGTGTGGAGAAGCTCGATCGAGAAAAAATCACCATGACCTCCTACGATGCCTATGCCTACCATGTTACTTGATAAATGTTGCACAAAACCGAACAGCCAAATCCAGTATTGAAAACAGCCTTGAAACATGTGCAACAGGGATTATATACAGTTTGAATCATTTTGAATGGCCTCACCTTAGAACAGGATAAGAGATACAACAGAAGCATGGCTTCAAGTGTCACAAGAATTAAAAAGCCAATGCAGGTAAAAGATATTAAAAGAATATAAAAGATCCTAAAGATCATAAAAGCAAGAAACATGAGGCACCTTCGCCAAGGAAACAAAGACGAGATGCTTGAAGAGCAGGTCAAAGAGCTCTCATTGGTGAACCAGTTCATCTTCGAGCAACATGGCCATTCTGTAAAGCGGAGCGTCTCGTTTCCAAGATGTTCCAACTTCCAAGCCTCATCCGAACCACAAGCCCAATGGGAACAGATTGGAGAAAGCATTTGTCATCAAAGATCATTCCCTTGATCTGTTAAAATAAGCACTGGAATCGTCGATATGTTCCATATGTATGCAATAGTTACAGTATACATATACAAATATATCAATATGTAATAATATATTAGAGATGGCTCATGACATGTTATGATCAGTTCATGTTTCATCATTCTTCCTGGTATGTTCACCTCATTTTTCCATATCCTCAAGGCATCTGCCAGAGCCGGAAGCCGAACGCTTCGAGGAGCTGCAGCCGGGCCATCCTGCCACCATGGCACGGCTGCAGCGCCTCGTTGGCAGCGCCGGCAACACGTTGGGCCAGGTGCTGCCAGCGACGCTCCCGCGGCTCACGGTGCTGTGCCGCACCGCGCAGCAGGCGGAGGCCGTGTTGCGGCTGCCACCAGGCCATGCCAGGGCCATTGGGGCCATGCCAGGGCAGTGGGATGGACGGGAAAATATTGAATTGCCCATAATTGCCCCAAAAACACATTGAGAAAATATAGAAAAGATATAGAAAAGCAATAAAAAGACATTGAGAAAGCGTTGTGACGTTGTGCAGATTCGCGGGGAATGTTACTTGGGCAATGGTTTTGGAAAGCTTTTCTGACCGTGGCTTGCTGGGCCTGTTTGTCCTTGTACTTGTCGCGACAATGAATGTCAATGAATGTCAATGACATCTTTTGTTGGACCAGCTTGTGCCAAAATGATTGTCGAAAGGTCAGCCGGTGATGCTCAAGAGTTTCTGAGAAGCCCAACGATGACCACAATCCACACTCCAAACATGTTCAGGTTGAATAAAATCATTGAAAGACAAGAACGCAAATGATTTGTTACAGCCAAAATCCTTCCAATGCCCCTCAATTGTTGAAAGTTTTGATGCTTTTTGATCATCCAAAGGCATCCAATCTGTCAGGCATGGTCTATGAACTCCAACTGGATTTCCTCGAAGCCCAGGGCCTCCATGAGTCAGTGCAAAGGGCACGAGCAGCCCAGCAGCGTGTGGCCGTGTGCCTCCCAAGAATTTTGAAGCCCAACGAGGTGCAAACATGTGCAAACTACACCAAACATCATCAAACTACTGCACATGTTCCACTGACGGCCGATCCATGGTTTCTGTTTCAAGGGGCTTGGAGTGGTCTCCGAGTGGTCCATGATGAGACTGGCACAAGTGATTTTTTTCTGCAGGACCGCTTGTGGCAATTCTATCAGCGCCTGGAAGCGGATGTTGCTTGCACCAGAAAACTTATCCTGTTTACATTACACTCGGTGTGTGTGTGTGTGTGTTCAATATGTTTCAACCTGTTTTAACAGTTCATTTGTTTACCTTCCCTGAGGCAAAAGCAACATAGCAACATAGCAAAAACTCCAGCATTCAGAGCTGAAGGAGAGGTCACCAATTCGTACTAATTCCATAGGATGACATTGGCCCAAGATGGCCCAAGCCACCCGCAGCAGTAGCCACAGCCCCCAAGGTTTCCAGGGCCAGTGCAGGATGTGAAGTATGTTGTAGAACTTGGCCCTTGTTTTGATCTTGGATCTGTAACTTTGATCCTGAAAAATCCCGAAAATGGTTTCAGATGGTTTCAGATGGTTTCGGCGGCAAGCGATCAGACGGTTTGGTACTCAATTCTTTTTGGTCATCAAAATGGTTGTCCCTTTGGTGCCATATGTTTGTTAACAATGTTTAACATATTTACCCTCTAGTTATTTAACATAGCCATGGAAAATGGCCCATAGAAATAGATGGTTTACCTAGCTATAAAATGGGGATTTTCATGGATTTTCCATGGCTATGTTAAATAACCAGAGGGTAACAGATTTAAATTACGCTAGGCTATGGCTGCAACGGCTGTATCCATATCCAAGGCCATGTTGGTCCGCAGTTGTGGCGCCCTGAACCAGCTGCTGAGCAGCGAGAGCAAGACGGATGCAGAACTCATTGGGGACTTCAGCCTCAATGCCGCCAACGTGGTTTGCCATGAAGATGATCAACTTTTATTCATATATATATATATATAATGTATATATATATATATGATTTTTTTTATTCATTTATTTATTTATTCATATGTTATATTTATTTATAAATATATATATATATATACATATATATATATATGTGTGTGTGTGCTAATCCGCTGCTCCCATCATGTCCCCATCCACCCATTTCTCGTGAGGTGGAAGGGATATTCGGAGGCGTATGGGTCTGTGTACTATGATAGTTGGCGTGCTGTTGTTTGTGTTACCATGCGCGAGTGCTGCAAACAAATCTCAGTTTGCAGACTTCTGACCGCTAGGCAGTCACCGCCGCCTTTTTTCTGGGCGTTGGATTGGATCGACTGACGCCGAGCCACGATTTGAGTGCTCAGCAGATTTGCCAATTGGCAAAGAGACTGGGACCAGAGCGGGCCGCAAAGTTGGAGGTGCCGCGTGCAGACTGGGCCTGTCGTAAGTCGTAAGTGTGGACGATTAAGACACAAAAAAACAAGGGTGGTGGGCTGTGCTTTGTGAGCTGGTGGGTTTGTTTGGTGCTGCACTTTGCTTCGTTCATGTCATATTGTAAGTCCCTTCAAACCAGACCCTTCGCATTGAGGTGGTTGCGCACCAGCACCTGCCCATTTTTCACACAGAGCACTGCGTGTTCTGTCGCTTCCTGAGCAATGGCAACGACTACACAGACCCCATCCTGTGCATTAACAGCTTTGTTTCACCAACACCTTGATTTTCTGACCAGTGAGAAGTGAAAGGGAATGCGGACAACATCGGGCAGCTGACCTTGAAGCAGTCTTTGGATGTCTTTGATATGTGTAATCGTCAAGTCAAAAGGATCAGACGATGTATGCTACTTATATTGTTCATCAAGTGATAGGGAATCGTTGGTGCTCCGTCACTGTTGGGTCATTTGTGAATTCAGGATTGTGGGCACCCATGTGAGCGCCACAACTTGCACTTGAGGGATTCAAATGGAAAGGACCACAAGGCTCGAGGGGCATCACTTCACTCCCAAAGTGTGTAACAGATCTACTGACAGCAGGCTTCAGATTTTGACATGGGTTACTTAGCTCCGCCACAGTCGAATTAGTTGTTTAATGATGTTTCATGATGTTTTAATGATTCTGCTGACTCGCTTCCGTGAGAGTAGGCTCCTGTCAGGTGGTGGCTGACATGGGCTGCCGCAACACCGTCTTCAACGCCAAAGCTCAGTCTGCAGCCATGGACCTGGCAGCCTTTGCCTCAGCACAGGCGGGGCCAGTTGTGCTATCAAGGTGAAGCCACCTGCCCGTGTTTCCGTAGTTCCTTTAGTGTACCATTCAGGGAGTTGTGAATATGTGTGAGTTCTTAATGGTTTGACTCAGTTCAATATATTGGAACACAATATATGCCATATAGTGTTACACTACAATATATATATATATATTTATCAGGTTCTGTTTGTTTGCTGCGCCAGGTGGGATTCTTCCGCCTGGAGCTGGTGGATGAAGTGCCGGAAGCCGTGGAGACCTTGGTGCGGCGCTACCACTCAGCTGCTTCGGGACGCCTTCCTGCAGAGAAGTTGGGAAGCCCAACACAACATTTTATATGATATAATATAATATAATATAATATGATATAATATAATATAATATGATATAATATAATATGATATAATAATATAATATAATATAATAATATAATATAATATAATATAATAATATAATATAATATAATAATATAATAGAATAGAATAATAGAATAGAATAATATAATATAATATAATGTAATGTAATGTAATGTAATAATATAATAATATAATATAATATAACATAATATAATATAATAATATAATATAACATAATATGATATAACATAATATAATATAATAATATAATATAATATAATAATATAATATAATATATAATATAATATAATATAATAATATAATATAGTATAATATAATATAATATAGTATAATATAATATAAACAAATAATATAATATAACATGATATAATATAATGATATAATATAATATAATATAATAATATAATAATATAATATAATATAATATAGTATAATATAGTATAGTATCATACAAAATAAGTTAAATTATATACAATGTAGATATATATATATACATATATATATATATATGTATATGCAGCAGATATGCCACATTATAATAAATACATATATAGAGATATACATTACTGGCCATGATTCATAAAACTGCATCAAGCTATCTATATCTATCTATCAAGCTGCACAGTCACTGAAACTCACTGGAAGTGACTGGAACCGTGAGAGCCTCATTATTTGACCAGGACCTGATACCTCCTGAGACAAGCCAAAGTCAATGGCTCTTTGAGGTTGTGGAGCTATGTGGCCAGCTTGAGTGACTCCAATGGTCGTCGCCAGGGCGTAGAGCGAGGCTCCCTAGACGATTCCACGTGGCGAGAACAAGACTTTCGGGAAATGAAGGTGGGCAGAGTGCTGCAGAGCGGGGCTTGGGCGGGGCTTTTGCGGCAGTTGATTGTAAAAATTATAGCTATGAAGACCGACTTTATACAATATAAGTGTGTATGTGTTTGATTGTTATTGCAATGGTTTGTGTTCATTGTTTATCTCTATGTAGTGTTAATGTGTGTTTATATGAACATTGTTGAATACGAGATGTACGAGGGAAGGGAAGTTATGATATAACTTATCCAATGTGGATTGTCGCACCCTTGTAATGAAAGAGTCCAGGGACTGACAAGCTTAGCAAGCGAGGCACGTAGTGATTTTGTGGCAGTGAAGCTAGCTTTGCAGACCTGGAACGGAAAGTAGATAGAAAGTCCGCTTTTCAGTTTGGGTATCTTCCTTCGGATTATCCACATGAGTCATGATGCCGATGTCAGCTGGACAGTAAGATTGCAGATTCCTTAGCCTTAGCAGAACTTCAGAATCCCCCAAGCTTGTCAGAGTCAGGTGACAGCAGCCTCACGAGCAAGTAGATAGTTGAGAGTGCTGACCATAGTCCTGGTACCCGTACTCTCCGAAAGCACTGCTGGTAGGTTCACATTTTGGATCATGACCAGCGCAGGAAATCGTAGAATGGGGCTCTTGTCAGTGAAAGTCATTCGTGGACCTTGCGCCGCACCAAGCAACTGGCTTGTTGTGCGAGACCCGGCAGACCGACACGTCGCCAGAAAAGGGAAAGCTGCTGGGAGGAACTCCCTAGAAAAGTACCAGAATGCCACTTATGCGGGGGCGTCAAAACCAATTGTACCATATACTGGTAGATCCATATATCATCATATATCATATTTTGTGGGATGAACATCCATCTACTATTATACTGTACCACAAAATTGGGTGTTCACCAGGGTTCCAGGGTTTTGACCCATTCGCCATTATTTTTCTGACACGGTGAGACGGTCAGCTCGAACCAAACGATGCCTTTTTCGTGCATCGTTTGCAGGAGAGATCTTTGAGTCACGCAGCGAAATGTAAAAAGACCTTTGTCAATAGCTCAGTGTCAGTGACGATGGACGCAGGTTGTTGACGAATGAATAGGCCTTACATGAAAAATGATTCGTGGTTGAGCAGTTTTTGTGTCTATCCCAGACTAGAGGCTGAGCATTCTTGAGATTCGATTGCAGGATCGAAACCGACAGCCAACAAGACTGAGGACCGCTTGGCGATGGTAAACGCATTCCAGCTGCTTGAGTGCCAAAAAAGTTTGGAACGTTTCAATTTTTTGCATGATGACACCGACTGCGGGAAGTCTACCAATGGCTTGATTAGTAATGATTAGAGTCATTTGAAGGATCAAGGATTGAACATCATTCAACCTGCCAAGGACCCCTGCTATGGCGGCACGGATAAAGGCCACCGCAAGCAGCGAGTCCAACATTGTTCCAGAAGAACTGGCCCAGGGGGAGCAGTTACCGGGCCTGTGCTGGAAGTTTTCTAAGTTGGTGGTATTTGGATGTATTTTTGGGAATCAAGTTAACAAGTAGAGTACGCCCCATTGAAGTAGAAATCGTATGAAATCGTTGGGGGATGAATTTCATCAAAGTGTTCTGAATTTTGAAGGTTGTTAGTTCTGGGGATCCATTGCGATATATTGCGATGGAACTGCGTTGGTTCCAAGGAATGCCCACACTGGAGCGAATGCAATTGCTGTGAGATCTGTGAGTGGTGCAAACGCTGCACCATCTGCTGAGAGGATAGACAGCATTGAGGTGGCGGGGGCTGCCACCGAACCCCAGGGGCAGTTTGTCACAGAGGGCAGGACGTTCCTGGGTTGGACGAGCACGCTTTATTATTTGTAGTTGAGTGCTAGTTATAGAAATTCAACTCCTTCGGAGTTTGGCCACCCGAATCTCTGCAACTCGCCGGGCACCAGGTAGATTGAGACTTACTCGGGACATTGTTTGGCTTTATCTATCCACAGGTAGTGATTGTTTGGCTTGGCTCTGTCTTGTTTTCTTTGGTTCCCACAAAGTCTATCATTGATTGTATTGATTCCTCCACACCAATGATCAATGGTTGCAGCCTTGTTGTCACTTGCATTCTGCATATTGTCAACTCGAAGTTGTGAGATGCTCTGAGGACTCTTTCCGATGACGGAAACGCACACGCTGGAGCGGATGCTCCTGCTGCTGCTGCTTCTTCATCTACTGCGAGTGCGCTTGTGGCACCCTTTGGTGAAGGTATAAAGAGCGTTGAGCTGGCTGGCACAACGTCCGAGGGGCAGTTCATCACAGCAGATGCAGATGGCAGGACGTTCCTGGCTTAGCTGAGCGCGATTTGTCATTTTGCAGGCCTGGAATCTGCCAATTCGTGTTGAAACGATTTGGAGATGCCCAAACTCAATGAGCAAACTGAGGTCTCCCAGTTCCACTCCACAAGGGCCGCCATCTCATGGCGAGACCAGCCTCGGGAATTCTGGAGCTGCGAGCCAACCTGCTGGGCCTAGTGGCACGCAGCAAGCCAGTTCCTTGTCTACATGACATAGCACTTGCAATAAACAATGCAGGTATGACTCCTGAACAGGTATGGAAGTTTATCAAGTTGTGCACATTAAGCTCCAACCTCAAGAGTTTGGATCGCTCTGAATGTCACCGATTGACATCGATTAACCACAGAGCCTAACTGATGCTACAAGCCACCCAGCACACATGCAGGGAATGAGTTTCATGAGTTTCTTTGTTTGTTGCCACACAGCAGTGTTTTCGCGGGTAAGAGTGGTACAATGAAATCGCAACGATGTCAAAGTGAGGCTCTCATTCTGGGAGGCATCGAGGCCAGGACAGTCGTAGAAGCCCACTGTAATGAGCTTCAGACGCTGAATGCCGATTTCTCGGCATGTGATGATTGCTGAAATACTTGAAAGGTTTGGTGGCCTTAATGGCAGTTGGAATGGAACCTAAAATCATTTGACAGGAGCAAAGAAATCATGAGACAACTGTGACGTAGAGAGTTGTTTTGTGCAAAAGGTCCTGTCTGGCTCAGGGGATGCCATGCAGTATGCAGATGGAGGGAGGAAGTATTTGCATTTTTGGCGCTTCGATCTCGAATGATTATGGTGTCCATTGTTCCCAGACGTCATAAGATGTGTTGCTGCACATCACTGCAAGTAAGACCTCAACTGCTAACGAGGAGCAACCTTTCGAATTTCAGGCAGGAAAGGTGAACTTCAGAATCATGGCTTGACATTGGTCATCAACATGGATCATTTTCCTAGGGATGCCATTTGCAGTAACTGCCATAAGCACCCCTACCAGGTGCTTATGAAATCAATCCATCTAAGTCATTCATAGTCATTCTTCGTCCGTCTAAGTCCCTGTTGTTGGAGGTAGTAATATTAGATCATATATATATATATGGGAGCCGTCCGTAAAAGCAGGTCACAAATTTATGAATTGATGCGTTTACTTTGCTTTGCGCGATTGCTAAAACCTGCATCGCGATAGGCTGAGCGATTGGTTGGCGATTGGTTATACGGCTACCACCCTATTGCTACTATTACTACCAGTACTACTACTACTACTACTACTGCTACTGCTACTGCTACTACTACTACTACTACTACTACTCGTACTACTTTTACTACTAGTACTGCTAGTACTAGTACTAGTACTACTACTACTACTACTACTACTTTTACTACTAGTACTGCTAGTACTACTACTACTACTCCTGCTGCTACTACTACTACTACTACTACTTTCGAGACCAGAACCATGCCAATAATTGACATGGCCGCGCGGATTCCGCGCGCGCGGAATCCGCGCAGATGTTTTCAGGTCAGAAGGACATTCAAGCTAGCTCCACTTGAAAACAGGTCAGAAACAGGTCAGAAACACCAAAAAGGCAGCACTTGCCTAGCATCCCATCCATCCATCCATCCATCCATCCATCCACCTCAGCTCTTATCATTGCTACTTCTACTATTACTATTACTACTATTACTACTTCAACTTCTACTCCTCCTCCTCCTCCTACTACTACTACTACTAGTAGCACTACTACTACTACTAGTAGCACTAGTACTAGTATTTGGGGCACTAGTAATGATATTACTTTGACGATCACTAAAATCTCGAAAGGTAGCGGTGAGCTACCTGAGTTCCCCTTTGCGTAGCAAGTATTAGGGGGCGAGCGGTGCAAGTGCAAGAGTTTGGGCCGGTTATGTCTCGGTCCGCCTTTCAAGGGGGGGGCTTCGATTCCCCCCAGGTCCGCCTCTAAAGCCGGGTTTGCAACATAGGCGGACTACAAGGAAACGCCAACAGCCGCACATGCACTTTCATCCACCACGTTTGCATACATCCCCACCCCAACCGAAGTCAAGACCCGCACTGAAACTCGACAATGTCAGATTGCTCAAGAACTTTGTTTCGTTCACCCTAACAACCGCGATGAACAATGTCGTAGCAAGAACGTTGCGACGGACTGCGTTGCAGTAGTCTCAAAAATCGTACATGATATACCAGTAGTACCGCACAAGGCGGTGGCGGAAGTTTCAAAAATAGGAAACCTATAGGAGAGATTGGTTGTTGTGAATCAGAGATGGCAGAGCGAAGCCACTGCTGGACTGAAAGGCGATTGATCTCTCTCACTCTTGTCTACCTGTCTATCTATCTATCATATCTATCTATCTATCCATCTATCCATCTATCCATCTATCCATCTATTTCTCCCTCTATCTATCTATCTATCTATCTATCTATCTATCGATCTATCGATCTATCGATCTATCGATCTATCGATCTATCGATCTATCGATCTATCCCTCTATCTATCTATCTATCCCTCTATCTATCTATCTATCTATCTATCTATCTATCTATCTATCTATCTATCTATCTATCTATCTATCTATCTATCTATCTATCTATCTATCTATCAATCATCTATCTATCTATCTATCTATCTATCTATCTATCTATCTATCTATCTATCTATCTATCTATCTATCTATCTATCTATCTATCTATCTATCTATCTATCTATCTATCTATCTATCATCCTATCTATCCTATCTATCCTATCTATCCTATCTATCCTATCTATCCTATCTATCCTATCTATCCTATCTATCCTATCTATCCTATCTATCCTATCTATCCTATCTATCCTATCTATCCGATCTATCCTATCTATCCTATCTATCCTATCTATCCTATCTATCCTATCTATCCTATCTATCCTATCTATCCTATCTATCCTATCTATCCTATCTATCCTATCTATCCTATCTATCCTATCTATCCTATCTATCCTATCTATCCTATCTATCCTAACTATCCTATCTATCCTAACTATCCTATCTATCCTATCTATCCTATCTATCCTATCTATCCTATCTATCCTATCTATCCCATCTATCCCATCTATCCCATCTATCCTATCTATCCTATCTATCCTATCTATCCTATCTATCCTATCTATCCTATCTATCCTATCTATCCTGTCTATCCTATCTATCCTATCTATCTAATCTATCCTATCTATCCTATCTATCCTATCTATCCTATCTATCCTGTCTATCCTATCTATCCTATCTATCTAATCTATCCTATCTATCCTATCTATCCTATCTATCCTATCTATCCTATCTATCCTCTCTATCCTATCTATCCTATCTATCCTATCTATCCTATCTATCCTATCTATCCTATCTATCCTATCTATCCTATCTATCCTATCTATCCTATCTATCCTATCTATCCTATCTATCCTATCTATCTATCTATCTATCTAATCTATCTTATCTATCTATCTGTCTAGCTGTCTACCTGTCTATCTTTTGTGCAGTGTCATTCAGTGTAATGTAGTGTAGTGTAATGTAGTGGAGTGTAGTTGTAGTTGTAGGTGGTAGTGGAGTGTAGTGTAGAGTAGTGTCGTGAAGTGTAGCGGCGGGTAGTGTAGTGTAGTGTAATGTAGTGTAGTGTAGTGGAGTCTAGTGTAGTGTAATGTAGTGTAGTGTAAGGTAGTGTAGTGTAGTGGAGTGTAGTTGTGTAGTTTTAGTTGTAGTGTTGTGGAGTGTAGTGTAGTGTAAGGTAGTGTAAGGTAGTGTAGTGTAGTTTAATGTTGTGTAGTGGAGTGTAGTGGAGTGTAGTTGGGTAGGTGTAGTTGTATTTGTAGTGTAGTGGAGTGTAGTGTAGTGTAATGTAGTGAAGTGTAGTGTAGAGAGTGTAGTGCAGTGTAATTTAGTGTAGTGGACTGTAGTGGACTGTAGTTGTGTAGTTGTAGTTGTAACCTGTAGTGTTGTGAAGTGTAGTGTAATGTAATGTAGTGTACTGTAGTGTAGTGCAGCAAA